AGCAGCAAGTACTCTTTACTGATGAGTTTTTTGTTTGTTTTGTGTGTGTGTGTGTGTGTGTGTGTGTGTGTGTGTGTGTGTGTTTAGTTTTTTTGTTATTGTTTTGGTTTGGGTTTGGGGGGTTTTGTTTTTTGTTTGTTTGTTTGTTTGGTCTTTTTGAGACAGGGTCTCCCTGTAGCCCCAGCTGGTCTGGAATTCATTGTGTAGACCAGGTTGGCCTCAATCTCACATAGATCTGCCTGCCTCTGCCTTCCAAGTGCTGGGATTAAAGGCGTGCATCACCATACTCAGCTCACTGTTTTATTTTTATAAATTTGTACATGAGTGTGTATCTTATGATTTCAGAATGAATATAAGTACACGGTAGCTTGGTGTAATACTGAAATTAGGACCATTTTCCATATAACTGTAAGTTCCTGAATTTTAGAATTCTACTACTTCCTAGAGGAAAAATATTTTCATAGATAGTGTATAAGAAGCTGCTTCCATGTGTTAACAAAAAGAAAATACTGAAATAATCAATTCATGATATACATAGACTTGATTTCTATACTGCAGTTTAGCACACAAGCTTCTGTCCTATCAGGTTAATAGAACTTAAGTGAGATGTTTTGTAAAGTGCCCTTTGGATATTCCAAGAATGCAGTTGTTTTAAATGACATTTTAGATTTCTTTTTTTAATCATTAAAATGTCAGTGGTAAAATCTGGCTACATGTGGCGTTTCGCAGTTGATAAACAGTTGATCTGTTAGTTGAAATGTTACTAGAAATGCATGTTTTGCCTAGACTTTGTACATAATAGGAAGTTGAAAAAATGTTAGTTCCTTTCCTTTCTGGGAATAATTTTTTTTTTTTCCTAGAGATACAAGTTCCCAAAACTTTTGGTTGATGATATTGTGCTGTTTTTTTCTTATGGCTTTCCCCAGAATACCCCACCACACCACACATACATCCTTATATAGAGTCCATGTAACCATGAGCACTGGTCCTCTTTTCTGGGCTGCTCTCCCAGCCACTGTAGGAATCCCTGGAGAGTACTCCCATCTGCCTGTGTGTAACCACTGAGCTTGTTCTGCTTACCTCACAAGTGACATCCTCTTTCCCCTCTGTCCTCCTCAACACTCTCATCTTGATACAAAATAGGGAGTTTCAATCTTTGAGGAGAATTTTCCAGGAGCTTATGGGTGACAGTCTGATTTACGGTGTATTTATTCAGATCTGCACAATTTATGATCTTATTTTGCAACCCACCATGTGTAACGTTTTGATTCATCATGTGTTCTACCAAACAAAACATTTGTGTTTCTTTAATATGTGATTTATTTTAGGCTAATGTGCTGTATGTCTTGAAAAATAACTATTAAGCGTGTTCATGTTCATGCAGTAGCCCATGTTTATGGGATATATGATGTGATTTAGCTAAAGCTGAACCTGGTGGGGGTCTTCTAATTCTGATTATTTAGAACATGTGTTTTGTCAACACATGTTTGCACTATAGATTACTGCAAATAAAAGACCTTTTCAGATGAATAAGCAATAAAGTTTCATCTTATTAAGATGAAGGACTGAGGTCATTAGGTCTTTATATAGCTTCTTGCTATTAGAAATGCATCTTCTTAATACAAACACAGATATTATGAAGAATGCTTTTAAATTGAAATGCTAGTGTGAGCTGTTACTTCCTTGACACTTTCACATCATACTTCTTTGTCTGTGGCTTCCATTGAGCACTAAAGAGTCCTACCAGCAGAACATATCAAAATGGGTTGAGACTTCCTCGCCTTCCTGGTCAATCAGTGATTCCTCTTCCCTTTTTCTTATAGACCATGGCAAAAGTTATAACCACTGTCCTGAAGTTCCCTGATGATCAGACTCAGAAGATTTTGGAAAGAGAAGATGCTCGGCTAATGGTAAGCTGCAGAGGCAAGCTGCAGAGGTGGCCGTCGTGTGCCCACACCCCATTTCATTTGTAACACCTTTGGGTTGGTAAAAGAAATTGGAAATTAAAAAATCTCCTTTGTACTACAGCTTAAGAAGTGACAGTGAATTTACATTAAGAAAGTTTAAGGGTAAACATGAATGGACACTCAGGGGAGAGAACAGACTTATCTAATAGCGTGTCCAAGGTTGATAACACACAGGTGGTGATGACATTCTAGAACTTGAGCTATTTATGGAAAGGGTGGAAAGGACCTGTGTTCTGATATATCACAGAACACAATTTCTAAATATCATGATTTTATAGATTACAGTTCCTTGTTGTCTTTATTTTCATATGTTAATTCTAAAGATTTTAAGCACTTGCTCCCCCTCTCTCTCTCTCTCTCTCTCTCTCTCTCTCTCTCTCTCTCTCTCTCTCTCTCTCTCTCTCTCGCGTGCGCACGCGCGCGCAAACAAACATTAGCTCCTTTAGTTTATCTGCCTCTAAATGCCCTGGATAGGAGCACTCTCAGCCCCAGAGTTTCCCATTGGGTATCTACAGAGGATGTTGCTTACAAAGGTTCTTCCTTATCTTAGTCCAGAGCTCCTCCTCTGTAGTGCTTGCCTGATGCACTGTTGCTGTGATTCTCATCCATAGAACCCGCGTGCGCACGCGCGCGCAAACAAACATTAGCTCCTTTAGTTTATCTGCCTCTAAATGCCCTGGATAGGAGCACTCTCAGCCCCAGAGTTTCCCATTGGGTATCTACAGAGGATGTTGCTTACAAAGGTTCTTCCTTATCTTAGTCCAGAGCTCCTCCTCTGTAGTGCTTGCCTGATGCACTGTTGCTGTGATTCTCATCCATAGAACCAAACCAGCATCAAGAGATGGTTTAAGTGAAAGGGTTTTGCCCTCTAACACTTAGCCATTTAACAATCTTCTCTATTCTGACTCTGCATGGGGTCAGTCCAGAAGTGATCCCAATACCTCAGGCAAATTCTTACCACCTGATCTTAACTTTCTCTGAGTTCATACATTGATTCTTGCCCCAATACCCTATTATATGTTGGTATTTGGAAGGGTTTATTTTGCCCTCTTTGGGCACTGAGGCGTGAATCCAGGGTCTCATGCATGCTAGACAAGCCCTCTACCACTGAGCTATATCCCAGCCCCTATATGTTGTGTTATATACTTCCTGTCTTTTTTCTGGGGCAATTACTATTTTTTTTTTGGTTAGCATATATCTATTTTAAAGTACCCTTCCCTGATAGTCAATGGACTAAAAACATTGCTATGCTTCTAGTTATTTCTGGTTATAATTTTTTTAAATTAGTACATCACTATAATATATGCCATTCATCAATAGAGAGTGTGTTTTAAATTGTAACTTCTAATTCTGTAAGTGTGTAGATCTATTTTACCTCCTTTTTTCTTCTTTCTTGGGGGTGGGGGGACAGTGCTAGGACTCCAATCCACGTCTTCATGCATGCAAGGAAATCATGAAGTTTTAAGTTTTCTTACATTAAAGAAAATAACTGTGTCTTTGTAAAAATTAAAATTTCCAATGCAGTTTGGGCCTATTAACATGATTCTGTCATTACGGTTGCAGAAGATCTTTTAAAATGAAGGCCTCTGGGATAAGGTAGCAGATAAGAAGTTTTCCCCATGCAGGATAGCAAAAAAAGAGGAAAAGAATCAGGAATCTAGGAAAAGGTGGCAGGACAGTTAAAAACGCAGAGGAAAAAGGAAGGCATGACACAAAGAAAAAGTAGAACACAGTCCACAGTTCAACCCTGGGTTGGCAGGGCTAAAGTCAGAACCACAAAATAAGTCAAGCAGTCCTGGTGACAGCAGACCTTCAGCAGTTGACTACAGAGAAACCCATGGTCCTGCAGGCCTCAAATCCAGGGCAGGGATTTGGTGTAACAGTGACTCCTCTTGGTGGCAGGCCAGCTCTAGAGCAGAGCACCATTTTCTCACTCCACATTTCTCAGTGCTGTAGCCAGCAGCCATCTTAAGACGGGCCTGTCATTTGAAAACAAGAGAACCTGGGGACACCTACCACAGTGTCTTGATAGGAGACAGTCAAGAGAAAAGTACGGGAGAGAGGAGAGTCAAATGTGCACCCACTGAGAAGTTGAAGAAACAGAGCGCTTAGATAGTGGAGGATGCTGTGTTTGGTGGAAAAGAGCGAGCCCCGTTACCTGAGTCTTACTTCAGATGCTGAGAGCTCTGAGTCTCATGGCTAGTGGATTGCTCAGTCTCCAGAGCTACTTCTCTGCCAAATTGATTTGCTGCCCAGGAGGACTGGGAGCTCTAAGCCTGGATCCAGTGGATTCCCATAGCCTTTTCCCTCCCATAGGGTGGTTTGCTGCTAGATGGAATCTGAAAGTGCTCAGACCAGTAGACCAACAGGCAGAGTGCTTAGGTTCCTGTAGTCCTTCCTTCCCAGTGCAGAGCTCAGTGCTGTATTTACTTCTTCCTAGCATATGCACTGAAGGGATACCCCTTGGGGTGGATGTTTGATACCCATAGGTGTGAGTCGGAATGTGCCGGCACATGGGCCACAAAGGTTGCTGAAACTAGGAGTGGTCCCTGTTACACAGAGAAAGGAAGCTTCTGAAATCAGAGCAGCCCTGATTCTCCAACATAGCCTTGACCCTGACCTGCCAGCCCACACATAACACCAGCCTGCAGTGGGAGCAGAGGAGCTGCAACAGACTGCAGCTCTTGCCTACAGCCTACTCAGCACCGGAACTGTAGGCTTCCCACATCAGAGGCCCCAAGAAAGCTTCAACAAGTCTCGAACTTTTTTTTTTTAATATTTTTATTTAATATTTTTACTTCATTTTTAAAAAATCATGCTTTTCAGTTTTATTCCTCCTAGCTTTATCTAATTCTATGATCTGATATTTTGTATCTCTTGCTCTTTCTCTTCTTGACATTCCTTTTTCAGTTCTTTAAAACTTCCCTTCATCCTCCTTTCTCTGTCCCTTTTTCTTTCCTTCCTTCCTTCCTTCCTTTCTTTCTCTTTCTCTCTTTCTTTCTCTTTCACTTTCTCTCTCTTTACTTTCTTTCTCTTTCTCTCTCTCTTTCCTTTCCTTTCCCTCCTTCCTTCCCTCCCTCCCTCCCTTCTTTCTTTCTTTCTTTCTTTCTTTCTTTCTTTCTTTCTTTCTTTCTTTCTTTCTTTCTTTCTTTCTTTCTTTCATCTTTTTGAGACAGGGTCTTCCTGTAGCTCCAGTTGGCTTAGAACTCACTATGTAGACCAGGCTGGCCTCAAACTCACAAAGATAGGTCTGCCTCTGCCTCCTGAGTAGAATCCTGGGATTAAAGGTGTGCACCACCATGCCAGACCTCCTGCCCCTTTCTTACCTCATCTTTTAATCATTGCTTCACCTTTATTGAATTTCTGCTTGTTTGTTCTACTTTATTTTGACAGTATCATTTTTATGGTTATTGGTTATATAACAGCCGCTAATTGATTTTTTACTATATTTTTTATATCTGTTTGCTTTGATGTTGTTGTTGTGACAGGTTTTCTCCTTTCTGAGCAGTACTGGGGACTGAGGCCTCAAGAGAAGGCTGCTTACTAAGAAGACTGCTGTGGAAAACCAAAATCCCAGTAGATACAAAAATCACAAAATAGAAACACAACATGTATGAAAAAGCAAGGCAGTATGATTGTACCAAAAGTTTATAACCGTCAATAACTGAATCCAAAGGTGTCTGAAATGATTGAAATGCCAGAAGAAGAATTCAAAAGTCTAGAGTGATCAATGACCTCAAAGAGGATTCAAATAAACAGATGAAGAAAGTAGACAAGTCAATTTAAGGAGCTAGGGAGGTGGCTCAGTGGGTAAAGTGCATTCCATGCATCATACAGTCTTAGATTTGGTTTGCTTTGATTGAAAAATAATTGAATTGTTAAATTTAGATAGTGAGCCATGCAAAAACCTCCTGAGGCTGACAAAAAAAAATAATTTTAAGCATAATTTAAAAAGCCATTGAAAAACATAGACTCTTTATCCCTGAATAAGCGGTATTAGTTCTAGATAGGGATGAAATGGTTGCTGACTTCTTGAATTAATCCCCCTTTGTCCCTGAGGCTAACCTGCCCTTACAGAGTGTCCTTTAAACAGTCTTATCGTCATGTCCCTTCACTTGTTGGAATAAATTCACCCAACAAGTCACCTGTTCCTTCTGTACTTATTATGGGAAGTCTATAAAAATTGAAGCCATGGAGGACATGGTTGTTGACCTTGTGGAACCTTTCATTTTAGGGATAAGAGTAACATCCATCCACTCATACGGGAATAAAGATATGCCCAGTAGATCATTCAAATGACAAAAAAGATGCATAGGAAATATGAAGTAAATTAAGGGCATGAAGTGGTAGAGATTCCAAAATACAAATAGAAAATTAATCTACTGGAATCATCTTTTTTACCAGTCTAAGAGAGTCCTGATACTTTGATAGAATGATGCAGGATTGTTTCATGTATCTTTAAGAGAGTTTCATTAATAATATTTATTGTAACTGGCTGAAATTGGAATTAGGAGATTTTTGTTGTTGTTGTTGTTATAAAGAAGCCTTTTAAGTTTTCTAAAACACACTTTCTCTTTAGAGTGCTAGCAGAACTTAAAGGCATAAATATACGTGTCTGTTTCCAAAATGACTCCATTGGGAGAACATTTCCTTCCTTGGTGAACAAGGATTTGTTTTCAACTATCTCTCAGTCTAGTAGTGCTTTGCTTTCACACCCATCTTTCACATTGCGTGTTCCCTCCCTTTTTTTGTGGTACTGGGGACTCAAACCTAGAGCCCCTGCATGCTAGCTAGGAAGGCCCTGTACCACTGAGCCACCTTCTCAGCCCTGAGTTTAGTTCTTGATTAGTCTTTGGCGTAGTTCAACCTTGTATTGTTTGTCTTACTTTATTTTTCCTTTTGATCGCTTTTTTAAATCTCCCCTAAGTTATTGAAATCATCAGGATTTCTCAGCATTTTTAGGCAGTGAAGTCTTCCATTCTACCATGAGGCTTACCTTCTCTTGGCATGCAAGAAGAGACACATACAAGGTGGATTTGGAAAACAAATGCAAATAAAAGTGATAACATAATAAAAATATATGGCATATGTAAAATAAATATTTGTTATCGTGGAAGTGGTTTTGACTAACATTCTTGGAATAAGATAATATGAAGTCTTTTTTTAAATGTTACATACAACTCAGAAACATGTTACTTAGAAAATCTTTCATAATCGTCAACTGATTCCAAACTGTTTCCCCAATGCCAAAATTGCCTCTGTTAATAATGTAGTAAACCAGGTGCGTGCCTGTAATCCCAGCACTTAGGAGGCTGAAGCAGAAGGATCTCAATGGGATATGTAGTGGGAGACCATGTCTCAAAAAAAGTGTGGATGGCCACACACTTTCTAAACCTTATAACTAACTTATTTTATAAAGAATGAGAATGGTCACCAGCTCGCTGCTCTTCACTTAATGTATCTTTGTTCCATCTCATTACAGGTTGACCTACATCATTTTTTTAATGGCTGTTAGATTGTATAGATAGATGTTTTACAATTTAGTTCACCAGTTTTCTCTTCCTTCAGTTCACTTAGTTTTCAGCTTTCAGTTCTTAAACACATAGGCAAAGGGACATCCCTATCCCTATATTCTGCATGCTTCTGCAAATTTTCTGTAGAATATTATTAACCTTATTGTATTATGTGCATTGCAAAACATTTTCTGGCTTGTCTTTTAGTTTTCCTGCTTTTTACTAACTTCATGTTAAATGAAAAAAATAGACTCAGCTTTTGTAAACTGTGATGCTGCCATTTTAAAACCAAACATGAAGCTAATTAATTGTGAGTGATGGCCCACTGAAATAGGGCATGGGATTTATAAGAGAATTATTCAGTAATAAAATTGGCACCTTTTAGGGGTGAGAATTCAACATACAGATACTGAGTATTGATTCATCAACATGCTTCTGAAACTTCTTGAGGGCAATTGAAATTTTGTGAATCAAATTTTTATGTATAATCTAATGGAATTATTAAAAATCCTCTCATATATAAATAACCTCCTCTAATTTACCTAGCAGTTAAATACATACTTAAAGCATGAATGAAGTATGCCTTTCTGTTTTGAAACTTTTACATAAAAATTGAAACTTAGGCCAGGGCAGAGTGGAGAGTATTATGTACCCCTTATTCTTGTATATCTTCAATTTGGGGAGACTCAGAAACAAATTAAGTATAACCTATTTAATACTATCAACTTCATATGCACAATATGATCTGTGTGCTGTTTATCTTAAAACTAACCCAATAAGCTTTTTTTCTTCCTGGCTTTGTAGTTCACGTCACCTCGCAGTGGTATCTTCTGAGTAAATCGTCAGTCTGTGCTTAGTTAGCATGTGGTGAGTGGTGAATAATGTCCCGTGTCTTTCCTACAAAGATCAGTTATTGCATGCTACTAACCATTTTGTTGGGGTTATTCTGTTCTTGTTAATGAGCATGATTATAATATTGGGTTAATATAATCATTTTTTGTTGATTCTGTTATATAAATTAATGATACAGATTAACAAGAATGGCCTTTGAAATTACTAAAGATTATGAGAATGAAAAATCATTTTCTAGATAAAAGTAAAGTGATGTGTTTCACACATCTGGAATTTAAAATACCATAAATCCAGATTAGAGTCAACTAGCTTGAAGTAATAAAAGCTAATAAGGACGATTAAAAATAAATACAATTTTATTACCTTGTACAGTTCCATGCAAGACAACACATTGGTTCTGTGGATACTCAGGCAGCCGAGTGTAATTAGAAATGGCTGTTTCTTACTAACATTTTATTACAATGAAATGTGGCTATCTAAAATGTTTCACATAATTGACTGTCTTCACCACTTAAAGCCTCTCACCTCCACATAGTTTTTGTGTTGTTAGACTGATTTAGCACTACGTTAAGCATTTTAGGGTACACATTTACCTCAGACTTGGCCATATTTTTATAAATCACAAATAAGTTGAATCACAATTACTAAGACAATTATACTTAAGATGATGATTATTTTGGCCAGTGTTCAGGAGTGAAAAGGCTGAGATACATTTTTTTAAAGATTGTTATTTAAAAGTGTTTATTTTCTAGAGATTTGTTTATTTTAATTTTATGTGTATGAATGTGTGCCTGCATTTATGTGTGTACATTGCCCATGGAGGCCAGAAGAGGGAGTTGGATCCCCTGGAACTGGAGTTACAGATGATTATGAGCCACTGTGTAGGTGCCAGGAACTGAATCTGGGTCCACTGCAAGAGTAGTCAGTGCTCTTAACTTCTGAGCTATCTCTCCAGCCCCTCCCTTTTTAAGCTTTTAGCTTTAAGACTCAGCTTCCTGCATTTGAGTCTCCTTTTGATTTTAATATCATTCAGTTTGCTACATGATTATCTAGAGCCTTTCTTATTTTTGACTCCATTATGATGACTGGCAGTGCAGAACATGGTTTCATTTGGTTGCTTTAATGATAAGCATATGAAAATTGAATAGTAGTACATTTTGTATCTAACCTACTGTCTTAATATTTTCCTTTTCATGTAAGTATACTAAACACACTATTACAAATAAATGCTATTGTTTATACTGGAAATGTATATGTTATAGCATTTCTGTTGATTGTCTATTTAGCTTTTGGTGTGAAATATTTTAGACATAAGATTTGCAAAAATAATTCAATAAATGCCCACATACTCCCTTCACTTAGATCAGCCAATTATTAGCATTTTGTTAAATTTTACCCTGTGCTCACTCTTGATTTTTCTACATATAGTCTCTCCATTTTTATAGCATTTGGCAATTACTCATGAACATTGTTCCTACAAGCAGTTGACAGTTTCTGACATAAA